CCCACCCGACAGAGCGTCCTGCTGGAAGGCACTTGAGGCGTCATGCAGGGTCAAGGGGAAATCAATGTTGGGGGTCGTGAATCTGCTCGTCGCATTTCTTTCTGCTTCGCTATCTGGCTCGACGCCCATTGTCCTCGTCGTCGCTGTCATCCCTGAATCCTTCTTCCAAACTGTAGGTGTTGGTATTAGCACACGCGTGATGCAAGACTGGGGAGGGTGCAACATACTCCCTACTCAACCTCCTCGTGCTCTCTGGGCTGCTGCGTCGCGCATCCTCGGCAATAGCCTGCCGCGTGTTCTGGTTGACTTGACCGAGCTCCTCGCCGTCATCGGATGCAAAGCCATCGTCGGAGTGATCGCTGCCGATGGCCACGCCTTGGGACGCGTTTCGGCGCCATATTGATCGTTCCATGAGGCCGGAGACGCCACTGCGAACACTTTGGCCGAAGGAGAGGGTGCTGCTCTGTATCGCGTGCACGGGAACGTATTGGCCGTAGCGCTCGCGAGTCTTGCGCCAGAGGGGAGCGAGGACGAAGGTCAATGTGAGGAAAAGGATCAGGGAGATGACGGCCGGAACAATGAGGACCTGGTGATGATCTGTCAGCGGGGATGCCTCGTTCTGCCTGGTGGTGTGCGGATGATGATGATGATGATGGAAACAATGCTGCTTACCTTGAAAACAGCCACGCTGCCCATGCTGGGCAAGGACCTAGGTAGGTTTTCCTGCGGGGAGGCTTGTGGTGGAGGTTTAGACTTGCGTTGGCAGGCGTCGTGACGATGAGCAACAGTTCGAGAGGGCAGGTCGAGCGATGAGATAGTCCTTGGTGCCTTGGGATGATGGATGACCTAGAGCTGAAAGGGCATCATGCCGCATGGGGCCCGACCAGGGATGCTGAAGGCGCGGGCCTAGCGATTGTCACTGGATTAGGCGCTGCTGATTGGATAGGGCCCCTGGATCTGGTGTGATCTGTTAGTGAGGGGAGGAGTTATGCAACAACACTAGACGCATTAGAGACATAGTGTTATAGTTAGAATAGCTAAACATACTTCAACGACTGCTATGCATGTTGAAGCCTCCAACTATGCCTAACACAGAGCCTCTTTTAGGGCTTTCCATAATAGTATCAGGAACACTATGAATAATAGGTCGGGTGATGCTGATGTTCTTGTCCTGCTGCCTGAACACATGTCGTTTATTCACGTATTCGTCATTTCCATCTCAGCCTCAACATGTTTTTCATCATCGTCTGTATCATAGGCGTCTACATCATAGGCGTCTGCATCATAGGTGTCTGCATCATAGGCGTCTGCATCATAGGTGTCTGCATCAGAAGCGTCCTTATCGTAGTCGTCGCCCGACTCAGCAGCTCCACACAGCGATGCCATGCGCGCAATGTCCCACTGGAGTATTAGGATGTCGTAGTCGGGCAAATGATCTTTCATCGCTGCTTTGATGGTGAAAATTTGCCCGTTAAGGATTGGCGCGCCCGTACGCAGGTCGAAAGCTCGGGGTTGCTGCGCCTCGAGTATATCGGCAGTCTGAAGTAGCACCTCCCGAGCGGATGCCCATATATTTTTGCCCATGTTCGACGTCTTGGCCACGGAACAGTGCTTCAACCAGTAGAAAACGACCTTGATAGTCCATCTGCCCTCTTCCTTTCCTCGCTCGGGCGCATAGGCAACAGTGCAAAGTCGTGGCGGGCCCAGGCGGCATGCATGTTCGGCGACAGGCATATGACATTGCCAATGACATCAATGCTCATGGTTGTGCCGTTCGGAAAAAGCTTCTCAGATATGGCCTTTTCTCTGTCCGCGCCCCATAGCCGAGTAAGAGTGGACTTGATTTGCTGGGCGCTTGCGGCACTGAAGGGGTAGATGTGCGCCACATGAAGCTCTTGATTCCCAGTCAAAACGCATTCCTCATCGCGAGCAATGCACTATTAAAGAGTCTCAGTCTCCGAACAAGCAGATGGATCTTTAGAACTTACGATTTCCTTCACTTTCTTGGACCTGCGTCTCTTCAACGCCTGCGGCTCCCCATCACCACGACCAGAAGATGACGGCTGCGTCAGGACTAGGCGCAGGTGTGTTAGGCCTGCCATTGAAATTGGGAACTGGCAACCTACATGTCTTGAAGTGGAGATTCCATCCGTCCAGAATGACCTCGATGCTCTGAAAATACTCTGGGATATTTACTGTTGAGTTGAGAGTCTGCTCAGCATTATATACTAGGTTCTATGGGTAAGAAGGATAAGGGAGAGGGAGAGGGACAGAAGAGGGACGGGGGAGAGGGGAAGGAGGGGAGAAGGATAGGGGAAAGGAGGAGGGGGAGCAATGGGAGACAATGGGAGAGGGATGGG